CCTGCTATTCATATTGTTCAAGTGAAATTAATAGATATATACATGGATTTTTAAAAAATTATTCACACACATGATCAATAAAAGATGAAAAAATTCATTTTAAAAAATGTGAATGATGAAAAAATTCATTTTGTGAAATGTAAGGGACGAAAAAATTTATTTTATGAAATGTGAGGAATTATAAATCGAATTATATAAAATTTGTTTTGATAATTTTGTCCTTAAAATATGATCACATGCATGGCACGTGGTGAATTTTGATAAAAAAAAAAACTAGTCGGAAACCTAAGTAGGGACCAAATATGACCAACGAAAATTTATAAGGGACGTAAAATTATATTTTTAAAAGTGAGGGACGAAAAAAGTTATTTTACAAAATGTGAGAGATTTGAACGATTTTCCCTTCAAATTTTATATCGTTATCAAATATTCAACAATTATAATATTGTATATGCTGTTAGTTAGTGTATATAAGATTAATTTTATTCTTAAAGGATTAATCTTATGTACATTGTATGTATCAATAGTTTATATCTATTTATCGTTGGATGCTTGATAACTAATTTAAATTTGAAATTGAAATTGAAATTTTGTATTGTTTTAAGTATCCAATCGTTATCTTATTACACCATTAGTCAGTGTATATAAGATTAACTCATTCTTAAAACTTGTAAGTAATTTAAAAATGTAATTGTAAATACTGCATGCATTAGGATAAAAGCTCGTTATTTTCATCTAAATTACTCATGCGGACAGCATGTGCCAAGATTAGGTATTTAAGTGGCGAATAAATAGGGATTGGAGTTGACATAACTCATCTTGTTTGCAAAAAATGAATAGTTCTTGCATTTGTTTGAATTGCGATTTTTCTTCCAAAAAATTTTGAACAAGTCTTTCTTATGCTGCTGCTGTCATTGTATACACCACAGAGTTGAATAAATATCACGTTATTTAAATTTGATATTTGAACATCAAATTTTATATACGTGACGTGGTACAGCGTATTTTTGCTATAAAAGTTTTATAAAAAATAGCAATCCAAAACCATGACCTCCCTCGGAGTTTGTGCTCCATCGTCCGTGACGTGAGCCGAAAACAGAAATAAGGGTCTACGAGGTGACAAGTGCACGTGCGACGCAGGCTGGTGCGAGAACTTGAGTACTGGTATAAGAGAGAGACCAGCGGATGTGAACGTGGGGATTAGCTGCCTTGAATGATGGTACGTAGCTGCGTCACCATGGTGTCACGTACTTGTAGTGGCGTTGGAGTTATAATAATAAAAAAACAGAATGAATATTAGTACTAGCTTGATTTTAATTTAAAAAAGAAAAAAAAAAAAAAGAAGAAGATGATGCAATAGCTTAACAGGGTAGGGACTCGTATGCAATTAAGTGATTCAATATGAGTGTGAGATACCTAAATGCTATGTTTCTCTTTCCATAATGAATCCTATCTTGTTTCATCGTCAATCCAAGCTGTTTATGGTTCTTTCTATCTCTCTGTTAATGGCAATTTAATCATTTTAAAATTCGTTGAAGTGGGAAAGTCAGCAAAGATTGAGGTTTTAAGTTAACCTGAGATTTGCGTCTTGGTATCTGTATCCATCTGTACCGTTTTGGTAATAAATAAACAATTGATATTGGATTTGGGGCTCTGGCAAACAGAGGAGCTGGATACAAACTAATGGATTTGTACCAGTATTTCTTTGCTGTCACGATGGAGCGTATAATTGCTAGAAGATCCGTTGGTCACCAAATTGCTGTTGTCCTAGTATGATTCCTCTTTTTTTTTTTTTTTTTCCTTTTTTAATAGAATTTTTCTAGCGGGTAACACTCATTATCACGTCCAAATTTTACATAACCTATCATGTATATATATACACACTAATAATTATACATTTTATCTAATTAATTTTAACTTTTCAAAAATCTAACACCTGATATATAGCTTAACAACCGTTAGAGAGATCATTTTCAATTATATTAATCCATCTAGGTTGCTATTTTTTGAAATTGTTATAGAAAAATATATTGTAACGATTTGATGTATATGAGACAAAAAAAAGGTGATCGAGAAATGTAATCACAGAAAGTATAAAAAAAAAATTTGAAGAAAAAAGGCGGTCCAAAACAGGTAAGAGTACTAAAGTCACGAGAACCTAATGTGATACTTTTGTATTTTTACTCTTGACAGCAGGAATAAATGAGTTTGGGATTGGTAAAAGGTTTTTGTTATTTGGTATACCCTTTCTTGAATGCTCTAGAATGGTTAGTTCATGTGACAAAAGGAAAAGGGTGCAATATTGGCTGGTGCATTGCATGGCCCTTCGCATTACACCCCTTTGAAATTCTAGTAGATTAGGATGCGCAGTCTCCTTGCTGACCGTCAGATTCAATATGAAAATATGAATTCCCCCACTTTTTAGTAAATTATTTCGTCTGAAATGTGCAACTCCTAGCCAACAGTTATTCTTGAACAGCAAAATGTTGGAAATGGTAGATTAAACATGTGATTGAGATTTTGAGTTATAGCAAATTTTGCTTTTTCGAGTGGCTATTGCTTAGATAGGTTGTCGTGCCCATATTTAATTCACCAGTTAAACTACTTGCAAAGGGCTATAATCTTGCCAATTATCAGCACCTCACCTGCTTATAAATGCACCTTAAATCCTTGCCTGCTCATTTTTCTAATTTGTTGCTTTTATTATTGTTTTAATCGTAAAATCTCCGATTTACGTGGTATCGGATGCAAATGTAACCCTCTTTGGCACATAAAACAAAGTAACATGTAGGCGTGACAATTTTCTGATACGACACGACACGAATTTAACACGAAATTAATAGATTTTGACTGAGATTTTACGGGTTCTAGGTAGAATTGGGTCAAACCTAATGAACTCGAAAAGAAAACAGGTCGGATTCAGATCATTCACGGGTTGACCCGATAACCCGTTTATGAATTAAAAAATAATTTAATAAATGTAAAAAATACTTTATTTAACTAAACTAAGTTATTCTTTTTTTTTTAGAGGCATTAACCACTTAGGTTCCGTTTGATAAAACTGAATCTGAATTCTGAAATCTAAAATCTGAATGCTAAAGCAATTAATTTGCTGAATTTTAAGCATTGAAAAGAAATATATGAATTTCTAAATTTTAATGCTAAACATATTTATACTGTTTGATAAACATTTATAACTAAATGCTTAATAAGCTAAATTTGATAATTTTGTCCTTATATCTTTTCATCCAAAAAAGAAATAGAACCTATGATTTAATTAACTTAAAATAGTTAGATATGAAAATGATAATATTTATTTTTAAATCAAATTAATATAAAATATGCAATATATTATACGAGGAGTATGAACAAGATTTGAAAGACATTAAAAAGGGAGAAAGGATAAATAGAAAAATGTTAGATAGAAAATATCAGATTGTTTGATTAGATAAAAATTTTGAACATAATTATCAAACAAGGGTAGATTTGGTAGATAAGATAAGGTAGTTCAAATAATTCTATTGATTCTTTTTAGAATTAAGCATTCAGTTAGGATTCTTGTACTGAAAAAAATATACATAAGTTTAGCAGACGAATTTTTATTTATCAAATATTCAAAATATCTGAATATCTGAAAAAATTCAGTTTCAATACTTTTTTATATTATCAAACAGACCCTTAATCCTAAATGAATTTATTTAACTTGTATGAAGTTGGGATTGTTATGTTTGGACAAATGATGTATTATATTATTTTCTACTTTTATAGTGTTTTAATTTATTTCAGTTCTAGTTTGGGATAAAAAACATTTACTGTATTTTAATTTATTTCAGATCTGGTTTGGGATTGTTTTATCAAGATTTTTATTGCTTGATTATGTAGTCTTGTGCGGAATAGGTTTTGTTAGAAATTATAGTGGCAAATTCGTAAATTGAAATTATGTTTCGAGTCATATCAAGTCAATCGGATAACCCTTCAAATCAAAAATTTCGAGTTTAGGTTAGATATCCTGACCCGTCACGAGTTGGAAAGTCAGATTCAAGTCAGCAGGTTTCTGTTGTACCTGTCATCCACTTGATTGCCACCTCTAGTAATACGTAGTTGCACCTATAACTCACACCACTTGTATACTTCTCGTAGCAGTTAGACCTAGCTTCCTCGTGAATTTGTTCACGATATTTGTCCAAAGTAATAAAGCATTGAGAAGCTATTACTTGTCTCTTTGTTACCCCCTCTTCATTTTTTTTGGCGGAAATTCAATCAATTTTGTTCTAATTCAAGGTGCAAACAAGTCATATTTAATCGAGCCGTTCGCGAGCTTATTTGGTTGAAACTCAAGTTGATTTTGAAACACTTGAACTTGAGCTTTACAGATGAAAGTCAAAATTTCGTTAGGTTTAATAGAGCTAAATCAAATATATTTTGGAGGTTTCTTTTTTAGTATTTATTGCTATCAAATGTGTATCATATGCCCTGTTTAAAATTATACAAAATATTTATCATTTAAACTTGATTGAATTCAAATCAACTTGATTGGACTGAAGTTTGCTAAGAGTTCAAACTCGAGTAAACTGAAAATTAATTGAGTTCAATTTCGAGTTCAAGTTTTAAGAATTTGACTGAGATTTTGAAGCATTTTAGCTCGAGTACACGATTCAAGTAGCACCCATAGTTACAATCCTCTCTGCCTTTCGTTTGGGCCAAGTCAATCGCAAATCCAATTGGTGACTCGTGACATACCATGACCTACAGAAATACTGAAATAGAAGCCGTCCATTGCAGGCAAGAAACGAAAACAACAACGTTGCTCAATCTGGTGTGCATAAAAAGCCCAAGACCGAAAAGGCCCCATTTTCAACTCAACTACGAACGTGCAATCCAATATTTAAAAAAAAAAAAAACATATATTAGTGCCCCAACTCCATTATCCTCTCGGGGCTGTGGAGGAGGAAAACCAGACACAAAAGAAAATGTCAGTCTCAGCCATATTCGGTACACGGATGGTGACGATGCCGAACCCAGTTGCGATAAGCGGTGGCGCCACCAAAAACACGGCGGCAACAAGAATTGTTCCTGCCGGCGATTTCAGCGGCAGCGGTGGTGTTGGGTTGGTGATAGAATGCTCGTCGAGGCCACAGAAGAAGGCAACAGCACATCACAAGAAGACTCGCCCGCGTAAGTCTCAACCGTGGGACATCCGCCGACGTGGGCCCACTGTTTACCCGCCTCTCCCTCCTCTGCCGCCGGAGTGGACGTTTGTCAGTGAGACCACGGCTGATGGTCAGTCTACCGCTCCTACTCCTCCTCAGCCAGCTGAGTCCTGATAGTGGCTTCTTTGGTTCATTGGCCTTCTAGGTTTACCATTTTATGCCAACATGCTTGAGGGTAAAATTGCTTGAGGTTGTTATTTATTTTACTCCAACTTTTATTTTCAAACTTAAATGCAACTTTAACATATGTCGGGTATTTTAAAGGAGGACCCTTTTTTTTTTTTTTTCATTGTGCACATTGGGTGGATGGTAAATTTGTATCTGCAATCAGTGATACCAAATGTTTTGTGTGTCAGTCTCGGCCTTATCACTTGTACCATCAGCTTTGGCGCAACAATTGGTAGAGAATATATTACAGATCATTCATTCAACTGAAACGGTACGCAGAAAGTTGCCTCTTAAACGGCTAAAACTCTGGGACTTGGTGGCTGGTTAATTGTTTTTTTCCCGCAAATGAGGAAAGGGGGGAAAAAGGAAAGAAATACTTAAAGAAAGACAGACTGGTTGGTTCATTTGCCTCTGAAGGACAAACAAAGGACGTGCCTGCATTGCTTCCTGATGATTTGAAACATTTATTTTCGTCCAAATAAGTTGATGTTTTGAAACGTGTAATGTAGACTTTCTCTCGATGCCCAACAAAAAGAAAAAGGAAAACAAAAGAGAAAATGAATTCATCGACTCATCTTACATATTAACCACAAAAAAGTAATGTGGGTTCTATTGCCTTAGGATCCTCTTTTCTGCAGTTTTTTTTTTTGTCGCACTTTTCTGAGTTTGACGTCCAAACGAAGAGTTGCAACTACTACTGACATGATACGGAAATTCTTCTGCTTTTAGTTTTAGCGTGCTTACTGCTGACGAACCTTTCCAAGTTGAGGGCTTGAATCGGGCCAATACGGAAATTCTCCGAACGAGCAAGCAACACTGACGAGACCATGCTCAGGTTTAGTTCCATGTGTCCAGCTGACAGGATAACTGCTTGCCCATCAGATGAACCTTTTTGATTTGCAAGTACAGAACCCAGATAGTTTTAAAGCGATGGACACAGTTCTCCCTACTGCAGACCTGTTTTCAGTTTTCACTTGTGCCGCTAAATCCGTGCTTGACACAAAATCATAGTAAGCTGATGAACCCGAAAACAAATACGAATATGCTACAGAGATGCTACAAGTTCAAAACCGCTCTTCCAGAGGTGATTCGAACCACAGGTTCTACACAGAAACTACCACAAAAATGAAACCTCATGAAGGCGGGCGAAAACACCATTGCAACACAAAAAGGAAAAATTCTCTGGTAAAGCTTCTTAAGACGTATACATTCCACTAAAAGGATATACAGTTGTGCAGCATTGGCCGCCCACTCCAAATTAGATAATACATAATAGAGAATGTAAACCGAAGAATAAGAAGAAATCAAAAATACAAAAAGAGATCAACAAATAGCAATGGCTAAGGTGGTTGGTTAATTAGGACTGTACAAGCTGGATCAGCCAAATTCTTCCCTCTACACTAGCAGGATCAGAAGATAACTTGGAAAATCTCCTTCAAATTTCCAGCATAGGAACTGCTTTGCAGCAGCATGAAGTCCACCACATGTACAGTTGGGAATTTCTTCGAGTTGTACAGCTTTGCTGATAAGCACTCTCTCTCAAAAGCTGCTTCCCAAGCTTTCAGCGCAGTCATCATCTCTACTTGCTCCTTGCTAGACTCAGGAGAAAATCTGTGAATAAAAGAATCAGCCAGCTACTGGCACCGAATTATTTATTTGGGAAAGGAAATGCTCGACAGCAACTGCGATGAAAGGGCTGTAGGAGATGAGCTATAGCTTGAGACTTGAGTTGACCGGGGACAGCCGGCCCAGCTACCCCGCTAAGCTGCGGAATAAACGTAGAAACTTCTCACTGTACCGTCAGCAACTGCACTCAAAACTCACGTCGTCACAAACCAAACACCACCACATATTCCACCGGATACACAATTTTGCTCCTGCTACACTCTTTTAACTCAAAGGAATGATATATTTCCAATGCGGAACTGGAAAAAACTACCACCGACAATATTTTGCTCCTGCACAAAGATCCTCGACGTTGTGCACCAGGCTCCAACCAGCGGCAGCGGCAGTTCCCCAAATGACGCAAACTGCATGACTTACTGAGACGGAGCAAAACTCTACAGACGCAAAATACAACCAAGCGAAGAAACAGTCGGGGGGAAAAAGAGACCGTGCAAGCCAGACCAGCCGGCCTCCAGGTACACGTGTCGCTCATGTAACACATGCTGCCAAGCATGAGATGTCTTGATGACCTTAAGATGACGCTTGAGATGATGGTATATTCATTGAATAACCAGAACGGTTGAGGGACCATCCGCCAAGTCACTAAACTAGGAAAAATTGTTTGTTAATTAAATTTAATGCCTAGCCATTTATTCATGTGCTTTCCACTACTAGAGCTCCAAAAAAGAACTAATTACGCAGATTGCCTGCTAAACTTGGTCTTAAGAGTATCAATCCACTGGGTCCTCTCCTCGACACTTAAAAATATTTGATGGATGACTACAAAATCCCTGCCACTTATCATTCAAAGCAGATCCACTGCCAAACTTTCCATCTAAAAGCCACTGCAAAAGAGTCAACATCCGACTTAACATTTGAAAGAAAAAATAAAATAAAACCCAACAGGAGTTGATTGAGTCAGGCAAATACACCCTAAACAAAACAAAAAATAAAAAAAAATGTTACAGGACTCTAGAGCTGTTGAAACGCACTTCACGTGGAGTCTACTCAAGGTCAATGAACCAAACATCCAACTCAATGACTGCAAGAACAGGCCATGCCCACAGCAACAGATGATACACCTCGCCTAAGTTGTCTTTGATAAGTGTGTACGAATGTAACCATAGAAGTTGCGCAAGCATGAAATTATCCTCACTTTAAACATGCCAGAAAGACATTAACTTCAACAAAAAGCCACAACAGGAGGATTGTTAAGGGCATTTCCCTACCTAGGCATCATAAGTTTCAAACTGTCTGCCATCAGTATTTTGGTATGCAAATCATCCAAATGTCACCAACCTGCATCTTTAACCAGTGTATTGACTTGTTAATATAACCTCCTAATGCAGTGCACCCAACCTCTTATAAGGCTTAAAATTTTAATTCTTTTCAATATTTCCAGAAATCCTTCACCTTCAAAGTGCTAGTGACATTGCAACGTGTTTCAGTTAACGTGTTTCAGTTTTAATGACCCTTCATGAGTCATGGCAAGACATTCGCCAGCAATCTACTGTAGTTGCAACAAGTTTATAATTTGACTAACAAGAGAATATTCACATAGCATCCCTACACCATATAACTTGATCCCAACATAAGAAGTTCTCCTCAAAATTGAGAGGAGGAGGATCATAATGCCAATGAAATTACATAACCGAGCTTTGCTCAAAACAAGTTCTAAATAACTAGAAGCATCACAACAACAACAAATGTGACCATAACTACAAAAGGAGTTGCGAGAGTAAAATAGTATAAGCCTAAGTTTTCTGCTGTATTTGAGGATTCCCTCCATGATCCTATCACAGGTAACATTACACGGTCTCTATAAAAAGGAAACTCCAAGTAAGGATAGTTTCTTTGTTTTCCAACATTTTAAAACTAAAAGGACCTCAATCTCAACCACGAATTTCATTAATAGCCGAGCGCAGCATTTCGTCTCCCACAACTGATCTCAACTGTTCCATAAACATATCTTTCCCCACCTTCCCATCCTGTAACACAGATTTCAGGACTAAAATCAGTCAAAAATAGGAAAAGAAATCAGGTGTGCATAACCAATTAATATTTTGCTTGAACTAATATAATGTCTTGATCACACTATTTCATTGCAATACATACCTTGAGTGAGCCACACAAAGTTTGTAATTGAAGAACTTTGAGAGGAGGAAGAGATCTCCCAAGCTTGGCAAATAACTTTGCAACAAAGGGACTTGGCACAGGAGAATCCAACTTAACACATGGAGTACCAGTAACTTGATCTGAAAAGACACAAGCAGTTATTTTTGCACGAACACACAAGTCATCCAGACTGAGAAGATATGGAAGAATATCTACCTTGCACATGATTGGCAGATTTATAGCTGACCACCAGCTCTGGAAGAATGTGTGTACTCATATTGGTAGGCCATACCACATACCACTTAGGATCTGTCAACTGATCCACACCAGTATCAAAATCCAAACTTGAAGGCAACTTCTGGTTAGAGCCAGCCTCAATTTTCTCACATTTGCCCAACAGGACTCGGCACAAAATTACATGCTTTTCGCCATTATCATCTATGTCTGACATCATGGCACTAAAAGTGCACCCAAGCAACAATCAGAAGAAAAAAAAAAAGAAGATAGCAGATTAACGTGAGAACAGCTAAACCTGCTCTGCATGGTCAGAATACACCTATAAAAAAATCAAGTACCTGATATGCGGTAACTTAGCAGGAGATAAATATACACCAACTCCATGAGGTCGAGGAGTTTGGACCTGATCAGGCATTCCAAACCCATGAGCCAAAATACTATCTACACCCTCTGCTGACGTCCCATGCCATGCAAAAACCATGTTAGCATCTCCTCTAGCTTTCTTCATTATCTCCATCTGCTTCATAAAAACTTCATATCGCGCCTTGTCCAATACCCCCGTCCTTGTACACTGATGAATCCTAGTGATTGTAGCATCAGGCTCCACCGATAGCAACCCAGACAAAAACAAATTTTTAACAATGGTATACTCCTTCTCCCCTTCCTTCAACAGCTTAGTCTTCTCCCACCTTGCCTTATCCACTTCATTCGCAACAATTTGCCGCCTTTTAGCGTCTAGATTCCTGACATTGGACGAACTCCCTTCCGATTTTCCCCTCTCAATTTGCTCGACTTCAATTTCCTCACCGACTCTCTTTCTCTTGCCCGATAAACTGTCCAAATTATCAGAATCCTCCAAAATCTTTACCTCAATTTCAATTTTGGGACACTTATTCCCCAAAATTTCCTCATTTCCATCATAACTCACA